ACTGGTTGGCGAGATCTTCCCAATTGTTGATTGAGTTTGATGGCAAGGCTAAGTACCACCTAAGAGCAACTTCTTTCAACGTTGTTAGGAAAAGATGGCAACATACGACATCTGGAACATCCTAAGCCATCATATTTATCTGGAACTACTCCAAATGTTCCTGTAGGTCTCCTTTTCCAATGTATTTTTTCATAATAATTTTTATATCCCTTAAAATTGGGAGGTGCATGATCTTCGTGGTAAAAGGATGAGCCACTTTTGAAATTATTTTTGGATTTTGGTGGGAATTCTGGTACATATGGTGGTTAGCCTTGTGGCTAACATGAGGCTGGGGACCATCAACCTTTTGCTTGCCTTTGTCAGAAGGATTAGGATTTTTTTGTGACTGTTATGGTTCTTGGTCGTTTTCATTAGTTATTTCTTTATCTGACTGTTTTTGAACCTGTGGTTTTTTAGATTTTGCAACTCTTTTTGTTGTTTTTCGATCTTTTTGGGTTTGTTGTTTAAGGAGCTCCAAGATTTGTTGGTGGATCTTTCTAGGGAGAAACGGGTGCAACAGAGGAGGCAGTCCTTTGGCAGGATGCCTGACCTCCCTTCTTTTTGCCTCTATATGCGTTCTAGGATTTTGACATCTTGCTCCTAATATCAACCATATATTTTTATTTGTATGGAGTGGGATTCAAAATTTACTGTACCCCACAGCAGTGCCAATGATTAGTCGGATAGTAACTGGGCTGGGTCTAGTCACACACAGTTGAAGGTAGAGGATGTTGTTGGAGAAAAGGAAAGATAGATGTGTTGATGTTTAGATGTTGGACGGTTGGCGAGATGGTGTGTTGATTTGCGATATGATTGGGCATCGCTTGTGCTTATCTGGGAAGTTTGAGAGCGATTAAGGCACTCCGATGTTTAAGTCAGCTTGATATCCAAGGAGGTTCAAGTATTCAAAGAGAGATATCATACTGAGCCAATGGCCTCTATATTTATAGTGCTTGACGTCGTGTTTATCATCATCCTTCATAAGGCAGTGTTTATGTCGATTGGTTGATAGGGTTGGCCTCTTTCAGGCTATTCCTTAGTAGGCAAGCCTATGTTAAGAGTAGATTCTGTAGATATGGTGGCAAGCAGAAGCTGCCATCCTTTCACTAGTTCTTGGTGGTGGTCAATTTGTCTGAGCTGCTGACCTCGGCAATGATGGTCCCTTTCAGGTTAAGTTATGTTGGCTTGGTGGCCAAGTACTTTAGCGAGATTCATGCCTCTTCGGCGAGATGGTCTGCCTTTTGGGCCATGTCGCTGGGGTGTTTTGGGCCTTTAGTAATTAGGCCTCTATCTTGCATGTAGTAAGTCCAAATCAATTACCAAAACAAACTAACTTGGTCCAGTCTCATCAATGTGTGATTATGTTTGATTCCATATGGTCTAATCATTTGAAATGGACCAAATATACAGGTCACAAACTAAGCCCACTAAACTAGGGCAAGAGCCAATCATGCTATCAAATCCAAAACAATCCTTAGCTTGCACGAAATATGTACAATGCGTGTACACATCTCCTATAGATTACTCTACAGCTCAGAAATGATCACCGTCTCGTCCAGCCAACAACACAATGGCATGGACAACTTCCATCTAAGCTTCAGCAGTGTAACTCACCAAGAGGCATTCCACGTAAAGAGATAGGCTATAAAAGCCACCCAAATGAGAAAATCACATAAAAATCACATACTAAGTTTTTAATATAGTTGTATACCCAAGACTCAAATTCCAGATCAGTGGTTAAGTTGGAACAACCATTTACCAGTTGATCTACGTGTTGGTGGTAATATAATGTTGATCTGATTCAATTAGAGCATCGTTAGATTCATATTAGGGAGGGCTTTTCCAACATTATTATTTTTATTCTCAAGATTAGAACTCAATATATATCTCTAATTAAGGAGAATAAAGTCTTACCATTCTAAGGATGATTGCTGGTTTATGTTAGATTTGATTGATTTCGAAACAGCTAATCAATGGCTATAGGAATTGATATGGTTTGTAAAATCTAAAATTTTAAATTTAAATTTTACATTATTTATTCTAAATATTTGCTGACAAATAAACTCAAGCATGAGCTTTTTCCTTTGTCCTTGTAGATATATTATCTTTTAATAGGTCGTATGATTCACTCATTTACTCGTAAGTTTTATGATCCACACGAGGTGACTAACTTAGAATCAGTCCAAATTTGTCCAGACTATTGAGATTTGGCTTCTGAGCAAGACTCATTAATTTGTCATGAGCTTCAATGTTTTTCGAATTTTTAGAATCGTTTTCATTGAGTTTTAGTATTTTTTTGTTTTATCTTTTTATTTTATATTAGATAATTCTATAATTTCTATTTTTAAATTTTGCTGCTTATTTAAAGGTGGTGCGAAACCTAAATTTTTTGATTGTTTTTTTATTAAACAGTAATATTATTAAAAGCTGGGATTATCTGAATTTTAATTCGTTTCTGTTTTGACAAATTCGCTTAACTTCAGCATTATTTTCTTTTTTATGGTACATACTTCAGCATTATTTTCTAAATATTTGTTGAGCAGAATTCAAATTCTCCAGTTTGCTATATTTTGTTTAGCCCAACACTTGTGTGTTTAGACATCCTCTTTTGTTGTCATGCTATCTTTTGATTATTATTATTATTATTATTATTATTATGTGTAAAGTTTATATGTTTTCCATTATCTACAAGGGATCTAGCTTCCGTTGATTATCTGTATTGTACATCATGTGGATGATTTCTATATTTAGTAGTCTGTCTACATAAATATGATATTATTTTTTTTAGTTGTTTGAAATTTAGAAGAAACTCTGTCAAAATTTTAGTTGACTAATAAATATTTTATCCATTTTTTTTAATGAATTCATTCGCAACATAGTTATATATGGCGGACATTGTGAAAGCCAACAACCAATAAAACATTAAACACCTAAAATACTAGTATCTAGAGAAAAAAGCATTAAAAAAAAAAGTACCATATCAACTCCTTGAATATGATAGTTGAAGTATTAAAGACATCTCAGTTATGTAGCTGTAAGGCATGCAATGATAATGGGGTTCCAACCCTCCAATACACTCTCTTTTTTTATCCATTTTTGAGTTTTCCCATGACACCTAGCTTTGTGTTGAGTACTTCCTAGTGCAATTGACATCGACATAAATCTTTTAGCTTTATGTGTGATGATGTTAAATATTCCTCTACTCATAAATTGGATAATTTATGTACTAACCCTATAAATTGACAAGGTACAAAAAGAAAATAACTTAAGGTCGTTTGGTTTGGTTAAGGATAAATTTTTTGAATACTAAGGAAATGTAATTATTAAGGAAATGGTTAGAAAATAAGTTTGGTAGAAAAATGTAAAAAAAATTGTTTAGTTGACCGATATATTACCAGGAAAATTTATTTAAATTTGCAAAATCTATATTCGGGAGAAATTTCGCACCTGTTTTTTTTTTTCACTTTTTCAGTTATCTCAAAATACCACATCTCAAGTGGTATGCTATAACAGTGAATTTCATCCAAAAATTAACACAAAATTTATTTCTCCATTTATCCTATTTGTCTAGTATTTTTTTCAAAAATCTGAACCAAACGTGATATTTTTTAATATCTACTTACATTTTCCTATCAATCCCAAAATAAATCTTCTACCAAACACTCCCTAAACAAGAAATGAATTTGGTTCCTTGTGAGTTGTGAAGTGATATTTTATCCCTTCATTTCCATTCTTTTTATCCTTTTTCGAAGTTGCTTGCGGTTTATGGGTCTTTTCTCCAATTCCGTTTGATCACGTTACGACAACCCTTTATCAATGGAAAGAGAAATACGAAGAGATACCTTTCTAATTCAGCCAGAGAAGCCATAATTTGTTTTGTGGTCGTTACGACATGTCTATGTGTACTGGGATGTTTGCAACTTGATTTAAAAGTGATCACCTTAAACAGATCCCAGCAATCGTTGTTATATTCTATTTTTAAAATTAAATAATTTATGTTTAAGTGTATGTATTGTTATGTATTATAATCTGCTTAAACTGACTGCATTACTATAAAAATATTATAATTTGATTTTATTTCGGAAAATATATTTTCACAACTACTTTAGATAAGATTATCTACAATTATATAAGTAGTACATAATTATAATATTAAAATTACTTTTTTTTCTCTCTTCACGTCTGCAGATAGGTTCTGAAAAAATGAATGAGAAAAAAGAGAAAAAAAAAACAACTTTAATATTATAACTAATAACTGTAAATATTATCTAAAGTGACACCAGAAATATTTAATCCTTCTAGTTTTATATCCTTGTTAATCTTATCTTTGTAAGTAGAGAAGTATTGTGAATCGAGATTTACTCTTTTATTAAATATTATTTTTGGCCGTCAAGACGGTTTTTAAATTAATGACAGGAAATTATGAACTTACGAGGAAAAGAAACTTGTTAAACGATCACAAACTATTTATTTGGATTTGGAATAAAAAAAATATTCCTTCCTTTCCCTTTTCCCCCTTTTTTTAGGAGTGCAATGGATTAAAAATATGAAAGAAAAGTCAAACAAAAGAAACTGAAACACTTAATAAAAAAAAAAAAACTGAAACACTGTAAGCTCAATCTCTCAGGGAGAGAAGCTAGGGAAACAATAAATAAATAAAATAAAATTATTGAAGTGTGTAGTTACACTGACAAATTAAATAGGTATATACAGGAGCTAGCTTTTTTTTTAATACCAAAACAAAAATTCCAGAAATGAAATTATGAAACTATTTATTGACAGTGAATCTCTTGTTTTGTTTTGTTTTGTTTCTTTCCATCATTATTAGCAATGAATATCTTAATAGTGGTACCAAGGAAGGCTTTCACTAAATTTGTTTAGTTTCTATCTTAATGTTCTTCTCCATTACACTAAAGAAAGTAAAAATTGGGATGATATAAACACAAAAATTTAAGGCCAAATATCCTTGTGTAGAAGTTTTTCAACAATTTGGAGGCAAAGAGAACATCGCTTCACTTTATTCAGTCACTAACTGATGAACATGAGAATGACTACTATGTTGAGAGAGAAAAAAGAATGTACAAAATTGGTGATGAGACAGATTTCTAACTGATTTTAACTTTCAAAAGCTTAAATGTCTGGAAACAGATGCAGAATATACGATATAATGTACCTTGAGATAAGAATCAAGGGACATTATGCAGTGTGTGTGATATTAACAACCCTGTTAAGTCTCTCAAGAATTCCACTAGCTTTCCTCTTAGCCCTTGAAGTTCCATTCTGTGCAAGCTCAGAGATTGTTCTGTTGGTGTTCTCCTCTTCCTTTATTTCCTTCAACTTTGATCTATCATACAGACAAATAGTTTGAAGGATTGCTATGCAATTCTCCTTGTTGCGTTCACATGAACTTTCTTTGATAATGCTTAGCAAGCTAGGAACAGCACCAAGTTCTCCCATGTCCTGAATAGCCTTTTGGTGAGTTGAAAGCAATGCAAGGATGGCTAGTAATTCATCAACATGAATTCGGTTCTTTATCTTTGTCAAAATCACCCTCACTGCACCATCCTTAACTGCTCTTGCCTTGTTCTCATGCATGACACATAAGGTAAAAATTGCTGAAGCAACATCCTTCATGGCTAAGGGATGCCCTTCTTCCAAAAGGTCAAATAATGACTTCAAGGCACCAGATTTCCCTATAAGTTCCTTGTTTGAGTCTAGAGCTGACAAAGTGAAAAGGGTTGCAGCAGCATTGCTTCTTGTTTCGATTGTTCCGGATCCTAATGCTTTCATAAGGAGTGGAATAACCATTGGAGTTTCAGCTACTAGCTTCTTGTTGCTGTCATGAATTGAGATATTGAGGAGTGTTGTGATTACATCTTCTTGTAGATCAGGGTGAATGCTACTAAAAGAATCACTCCCACAAACTGGCTTAAGCAATTGGGGAATGGCATCTACAGAATCACAAAAAAGTGCGCGGAAACAAGGATGCTTCTTTGTCAACAACCGGAGTTCTTTTGCAGCTGCTTTCTGATCAGAAAGTGCTGAAGACATTTTCTTAAGTAGACAAAGAAAATGGTCACTATCTGCTTCATTTATGCCTTCCTCATTAATATAGTGATCAGTGTTGGACAATTCAGTACCTTGGTTTTTAGACCATTTTTCTATCATTTCCCTTATTAGGTGATTTGGAGTAAGGACAGTGTGTGAGAGGACTTGATGAGTTTGAGGGCAAGTCCTATTTCCAGCATTCAGCCATTTTTGAATGAAAGGTTTATCATATGTCTGCATAATTGAAATCAACAAAGATCCCACATATTAACAACCAAAAGAGGGAAACAAAATGAATCATGGTGCAAAGGGAAAAATCTGCACAATCTCCAATTTGTTTCAAATCATCATGATTCACTCAAAACCAATCTGAAGTATCAATGCAAAGAAAAAGGCATAGGACAGAAAGAAAGAAAAGTGGTTAGGGGTGGGAGAAGGCATTACTGTAGAAATTTGGAAAAAGATAAAAAGCAAAGAACACTAGAAATTAATTATTCCCTTTTGAGAAAAATAAGTCAAAAGTTCTACACAAAGATACAATCACCACCGCCACTCATTCAAGAATCTCACTCATGGACAAAGAATATTACTCTTTATTAACTTTTTACTCTTTCTCTTTCCTTCCACAATGGCTATTATATATTATCAAATTGCTCCTTTTCTTTTTCTTTTTTCTCTTTTAGTTTCTTGAAACGTATACTTGAAACATAAATGCGGAAAAGCTAACAACATAAATAAAGGGAAGATCACAGAAGTTCAGCAGATCAAACAAAAAGTACTTGAGATTGCAACTCCATTGATAGCAAATGTAAAACAATCCCAAAGTAAAATGCAGTGAGTCCCATTCACACATTGAACAAGAAAATGTAAAAGAGGACAAAACTATTTGGATTAAAAGAAAACTAGAAGAAAAGAATAAAGAAAAGGAAATAACAAAGATAACGCAGCAATTCCAAATGTTGAAATGATTTATCTTCATATATGTTAAAAAAAAAATTAACATGAAATATATTGTCAATTTCATTAGATAGAAAATACATATTTCTAAGGTTCTGGATGAGGAAAAGACTGAATATATTCCTTTTCTATCTTTCTCAAACATTTTTTATCACCTAACATAGAATAAAGTACAGAATTCTAGAAAAAAAGAGATGGACAAAAGGCCAAAAACAAGAATCTATTTCTTCAATTTAGTTAAGCTTAATTACAAAGAAAAACAAGAGAAACCCATTTTTGTAAAGAACTTTTTATTCCGTTTTACCAGTGGGATATTAAAAAATTGGAAAATAAAACAAGTAACAGTCCAGTTTTATTATTAATTTTTTCCAGTTTCCAACATTTTCTCAGAAACCAAACACAGAAAACTATTATTACACACCAAATTCTGACACTAACCTGACCAGAAGCCACAATGACAGGATCTCTCATCAAATCCATGGAAAGTGGACATTTGAATTCATCTGGGCAAGTCACAGTCTTATGCAGCTTCAAAGACAGTGATGAACTCTGTCTCAACTTCAACTCCTTGAGAACACAAAGAGTTTCCTTGGCTTGATCAATGGTTTCAGTGCTGCAATCTTCATCATCAACAATGGACTTCACCAGCCTCTGCAGTTCCTTCTTCAACTCTAAGGTTTTCTTCACCATCACCCCTGGATCAGATTCCAACACCCCAGGTTTTGCCATGTGATGAAATCCAATGGATCAGAGCCTAAAGCTTGAACTTTAAACAAACCCCAAAAACAAAAACAAAACAAAAAATGCTGAATTTGATTTAGAGAATGGAGAAGCAAAGAATATCAGTGAAAACACTGAGTTTCATCTTCTCTCCCTCTTTTGTTTTCTCGAAAATGTGTATGTTGCTTCGCTATGTGGCGTTTTGGTTGCTTTTATTACTCTGCTGGCTTCTATTCTCGGTAACACTGAACTACTCAGAGGAAAATAAGGACATTACCATAAAGACACATACTCATAACTCTCAACCTTAGTTTTCTCTCACTAGACTTTCTTCTTATAATATCTATCTTACTTCATTGCTTTGAGCATAGTTGATTCTCAAGTCATTAACTCAAAAATATGAGAGAGAAAGAAAAAAGTTATATTCTTCTAATCTTATCCTCTAAGTTTCTCATTGGCCTTTTGTTTCATTCCACTAATTTTACCGATTCAAAATGATACCATATATTATATTCTTAAATTTAAAAAATTTAAATATATAATTTTTTTTTTGGTAATCATTAAATATATAATTTAATTTTGCTAACATGTCTACACGAGTTTGAATTTAACGGAAAAATTATATTATAATTAATTTTTTAATTGATGTGTCAGTGTACTAAATGAGCTATAATTAATGGAGTTTGACTTTTCATTTAATTATTAGAATTGTGTTAATTACATTCCCGTGGTGAATCAAATTGAAATTGAAATTGTAAAAAAGTTAATTTTGATTTATTATAAGGAAAAGTATTTGTCTTTTAAATGACATAATTTATGATATTTTACTCTCACAAAGAAATCTAAACCTTTATATTTTTTTGTCCATTTTCTCTCTTCCTTTATCTATCTCTTTCTCTTACTTAAAATGACACAATTTTACATTCTTTAAAATGATACACATTTTTTTCTTTATTATAAGTATAAACATTTTTATTGTATCATTTTTTATATAAGAAGTTGTTATAATATTCTTATTGGTATCAAACATAAGGGTAATTTTTAAATATTTTTTGACTGCTTTTTTTCAATAAATATTGAAAAGTTAATTAAATACAACTAATGACTAATAAAATGTTACATAATTTTTATATGGGAAATGCAACTATTATGTTGCATGAAAGATAAAACTCTATCTTACTGATCCATTGAAAGACGTGTGGCACTTTTTGTTTTTGTTTTCTTTTCTTCTTAAACTAGTGGGTCCCACGTAGGGGTGTGCAAAAAAACTAGTTCACTTGCCCTGTTCTTGATCTGACCTTGACCTAACCCATAAATACCTATTTTTTTTTGAACTGGTTTAAATACTGACCCACTTTTATTTGGGTCAATTTTAGACCTGACTTGTTTTAATAATCACCCATTGACCCAAAACTTGACTCATACCCATTATGTGAAAAAAAAAATCACAATTACATTATAAGAAAAGTTTTATCGTAAAACAATTACGTCAAAATTTTTTACGGAAAATATTTTCCTCAAAAATTTTTGCAAAAATTTTTGACGAAAAATATTTTCATCAAAATTGGTGACTAAAAACATTTTTGTAAAAAAATTTGACGGAAAAAAATTTTCGCAAATTTTTTTACGGAATCTAAATTTCGTCAAAATATTTCACAAAAAAACATATTCATCAAAAATTTCGACGAAACACATTTCCATCGAAATTTTTTAACGAAAAAAAATTTCGTCAAAATTCTTTACAGAATTCAAATTTCGGCGAAAGTTTTCAATGAAAACATTTTTGTTAAACTTTTTGACAAAAAAAAAATTTGTCAAAATTTTTAGCGAAACATATTTTCATCGAAAATTTTCGACTAAATATTTTTGTCAAGTTTTTTGATAAAAAATATTTCCATCAAAATTTTCAACGGAACACATTTCAGTCAAAAAATTTCGTAAAAATTTTTGACAAAAAATATTTCGATAAAAAATTTTGACGGAAAAATATTCTTTCAAAAATTCTTTATAGAATCTAAATTTCGTCGAAAGTTTCGAATGAAATATTTCCCTGAAAACAATTTCCTTCAAAATTTTCGTCAGAACACATTCCCATCGAAATTTTGAACGAAAAACATTCTGTCAAAATTTTTGACGGAATTCTTTTTTCGTTTAAAACATTTGATGGAGGAAATCATTTTCGTCAAAACTTTTGACGGAAACTAAATTTCGATAAAAAATTTAATTTTGTAAAAATTTTCATTAGAGAAAAAATTCCGTCGCTTTTCGAGAAAAAATATTCCAACGAAAAAATAATTTTGTGACGAAATTTCGTCGTTTGCAACGTAGAAATTTCGACGAAATTGTGTGACGAAATCAAGTAAAAAACGGGTCAGGTCAGATTTGACCCACTTCAGAACTCAAGTCAGACCCATTTCAGAAACCAAGTCAGGTCAGATCTGACCCGGTTCTGAACTAGTTCAAAAAAATTCAAACCAAGTCAGACCTGACTTGAATCAAATTAAAGCGAGTCGGGTCAAAATACCTGACCTATAAAAACCAAGTTGGATCGAGTCGGCACAAAAACCTGACCCGACCTGACCTATGCACAACCCTAGTCCCACGTGAATCCCAAAATTAATCTTGTAACAGGACGAACATAAACCCCTTTTTATATATACCAAACTCATTAAAGGATGAGTGTAAGCGGGATGTCCATTTATGCTAACCAGAATATCAAAATAGTATTATTAATTTTTTTTAGTGCATATTTTCATATGTATTGGTGTAAATGAGTAAGTCAAGCCAAACTTCAGTCTAAATGAATTAAGTCTATGTAAATTATTTTAAATCTGACTTAACTTGTTTGCTTGAATAAAGTCAAATTATAAATTTGACATGATTTATTTTTAAAAATTACAAGGTTTGGCCTAGCCTATCAACCCTACAAACCTTAAAAAAAAAAAATTATTGCAGTGAAGTATGTGTGAAAATGAGAACAAAAATATTTATTTTAAGATTAAATAACCACAATGTATAAACATAACAAAACAAGTTAAAATCAATCAAATTACACTAATAAAATGTAGATACATATGGAAGTCAATTTTTACCGCGTGCCTTTTGAAGAATGAGTCGGCGACTCATAGGCAGTGGCTTGGTTAAGGAAAACCACCAGAGTCGTAGCGAAAGCGAGCCTTCATAGGGCAATTGTCACTGGATGGTCAAGTAGAATTTGGAGCATTCCAAAAGCCTTTCTCATCTTAAATTGTCAATTAAAGTGATTGGGTAACCCTCCACTTCAATTGATTTTTTTTCACGAAAAGCAAACATGAGATAATAAATCTAGTCTCGGGCATGGCCAGCTCCCCTAGTGTGACGGGTGGTGTGTACAAGGCCCGACAATCACTCATTCTTAAGACCAAAGAATCGGGCGGAAAAGGACCGGTAGACTTGAACCTTGTTCCTACATGACCCGGTCCATTCGATCAGACATCCATGACCAGGATGAAGCTTGGGTGAAACTAAGTGGATGCCTCTTCTACTTCAAAATTTACGCAGACAAATCATGCAAGGAGAAGAACGATAATACAACTATGTGTCGAAGATGCCCACTGACCAATCAATTTATATAAAAAATTTCCAATAAAATATAATTAAATATGCCCAACAAACAAAAATAACATATATAAATGCATACAACACCCATACATCAAATAATATGTTATTATTTTAATGAAATTTTGGAAAGAACAAAAAGTATAAAGAATAAGGGCATATTATCAGTTGCGAAAATCATGAGAGTTGATGATAAGCGATGAATAGTTTGGAATGGATGAGAAATTGAGAAGAGTAACCAAGAGAAGAGATGAGACGGCGAAGGAATATAGGATTAAGGAAAAATATGTTTGCTAAATGAGAAAAGGCGTGATCCATTAACACCCTTAACAGGTATAGTTATGATACTAATTCTTCGCATTTAGAGTACTCATTAAGTAAAATCTTATTTAAAATGACAATTTCAATATTTGAATCCAAATATTACAAGTAAAAATCGTTGGGAATCGCAGTTTATTTTTAATTTGACTAACTGCCTATTATTAAGTAATACCAGAATAATATGAGTAGGGTAACAATTATATAAAGTCCAACTTTTTTTTTTATTGGTTATGTTTATCTCATTTTACATGAGATAAATAAATTTTTACACTCACAAAAAAGAGTTGGGTCACACTATTTTTTTTTCCTCTCTTCTTATTTGTAAGTTTCACTTATAATTTTATTTTTACAACATAAGGTAATTATTTTTCTACCACATAAGAAAAATATTTCATTTTTTATTTATAAAAAGACAGTAAAAAAAATTCATACCAAAAACCAATTAAATGAAGCAGATGTTGATTTGAGAATGAAAGGCGTATACTTCAATAAATCATAAATGTACGGTGGCAGAAAGTCTATATTTCAAATAAAACTAAGACCAATAAATTTTATTACAATTGATTGACTGAACGGATGATTTAATAAGACGAATATTTAATTTATTTCTCAATTTACCTCACATTTTAATTGTGAGTAGAATTTTAAAAATAATATATAATCTATTATTGGATGTATAATTAGCTGGGCACACTTTCAATTTAACATTTAGAGCTTACATAACATGTATTATATATTTTTTGATGCAAAATAGCTCAAATATGTTTTGTTAAATAATAAGACCTTAATCGATCTGATTAATCTATTTTTAAATATGAGTTACAAGTATTATGCAACAACAGTTACGACTTTCGAAACTCAAACTCATTATCCTTTTGGTTGGCTTAAAAATATTTTACAGTGTCGGTAACATATTAAGGTCTCACAGAACCATGTTTGTAAAGGATGCAATTCGAATTATTAAAAAAAAAAAAGGATGCAATTCATGTCAACCCACCACATCAACCAATTGAATTTAACCGTGTTTTGGTTAAAGTATAATTTTCTTAAAAAAATAAATAAACAGAATATGAAATATAAAAATAGGTAACAAAGAAGATTAGAAATGGGAATTTGAGGGTGTCATTGAATGAGATTGCTGACAAGTAGGGAAGTGGGTACAGACGAGCATGACAGATAAGTGCTGGCTCATCCATCCCCATATAATTTTTTTTTTCTTTTAAAATATTGTGAAAAATAATAATATTAAATACAATAAATAATTAGCATATGATTAATGAGAGGGGAAGTGTGTAGTGTAGCAAAACAGAGGGAATAGGTGGGTCCCTCATGGTCCATCCTGCACGCAATCACGGACTCCACGGCCTTAACAGCTGG